GTGGGAATGCAAAGTTAATAAAGAGGCAGTTTCTCTGTGCTGACAAACAAAACAAAGTAACTATTGCTCCAACAGAAGTAATGGCGCCTTTGTCTTTAGAATCACTGGTTTAAAACTCTCTCTCTATCCATCCATCCATCTCTTTATGTCCCATTAACAAAACGTCTGTGGATCGGCACAACACCAATGTGGTGGGGTTTGTATACCCCAATAGACGCCAGGCACTTTGGCAAATGGAAGGAATAAGACATTGTATGATTGAAGGCTACACTGAAAATGTCCTTGAGTGAGAGAACAGCATGTCCACCGCCAATTATGTTGAATGCAAAGACTTCGGGCAGTGGGGGGACAACAGTAAGGAGTTTGTTTCCTTGCTGCCTCTGGCATGGTCCCAACCTCATAACATCAGTACAGTTAATAACTGTTTGACCTTTAAAAAACATTTTATAAGCAAACGAGGTCAATTAGTGCAGAGTAGTTTTACATTTTAAAAGTACCCATCCACTTTAAAACTAGGAGTGGAAAGTAGCTAATTTCTTGCACCAAGAATATGTTAATAACTAGCATCTGTGGTATTCAGAGAGGGTTTGCTTGGTTGTCACATTGAAAAGCTAACATCCTTCAAATATACAGCCCCAGACTTCCCCCTAAACATTGCCTATTCAGTGTTACCTGTTTCTGGTAACTGTACTGAACTGTGTGGAGAGCTTTACTCCTCAAGAGGATGGGGGTGTTGCAAGTGGAGTGGGAACATTCTTAAGAGAAAGGGGAATCGAATCTCCCTTCATGAGTGGGTAAAAAGCACTATAAGCATCTATCCGCTCCCATTTTTCTTTTCTATAGAGATAAATAGATAGATAGATAGATAGATAGATAGATAGATAGATAGATAGATAGATGGAAAACTACCCATAAGCACCAGTTATGGGTTACAAGGTAGACTGGTAACTGCAGGAATAGCAGTTTGAACCCACCAGGCACTCCTTGGGAGCAGCCTGCTCTCATAAAGATGGACAGCCTCGAAATCCTAACTAGGGTCATGAGTCAGAATCAACTTGATAGCAGTGGGTTTTCTTTTGTTATTTATCTCTCCAGTACAGCCAGAATGCTCCTTAGGGGCAAGGATGGTGAGACTATGTCTCGCCTACTTTGGACATGTTGTCAGGAGAGACCAGTCCCTGGAGAAGACCATCATGCTCAGTAAAGTAGCGGGGCAGTCAAAAAGACGATAAATTGACAGAGTGGCTCTAAGGATGGGCCCAAACATCAGAACTGTGAGGCGGGGGGCAGGAAGAGGCGGTGTTTTGTTCTGTTGTGCAGAGTTGCTATGGGTTGGAACTGGCTTTACCACCCCTAATATCTATCTATATCCATCCATGTTTCATCTCCAACAATGCACTAGGCCCTGTGCTAGGTGATTTACATTTCACCTAATTTTCATCCTAACTTGAAAAAAGAAATGCCATCCTTGTTGTACCGGCAGAAAACAGGCTTAGGAAGTTTTTAAGCTACGTGTCGTAGGTCTCTGCTTTGCAGATTGTGAAGTCGAGATATAGCCGCAGCTGCCTGATTACGTGGATCAAATTCTTTTCACGTCTACATGCCACCAAACATTCTTGGCCTTCCTGTCACTTATGTCCTGTTTCCCCCCTTGGGGGAGGGTGGTAATAATGGAAGAATAGTAAGGAAAGGACAAACCTCGTTCTCATTTACAGCTCTCCTGAAGCTCTGGCCTGATCGCTAAAACCCCATACCTGCTGCTGGGTGGATTCCAACTCGTACGGAGTCTGTAAGGCAGAGCAGACCCATGGCTCCCAAGGCTGGACACCTTGAAAGAACCAGATCCCTACATCTTTCTCTCACAGAGATTCTTGTGGGTTCGAACCATGGATCTTTTTATTAGCAGCCAAGCTCTTTACCCACTGTGGTGCCAGGGCTCCCCATGGGAAATAAGCAGCCCCATAATAAGACCAGCACTGCTGTTCTAAGGTGCCAAGGGGTCGCTGCTGGCTCCTTGTGACCCTACGTGACAGAGCAGAGTTGTCTCACTCAGGTTCCCAAGACTGCGTGCGACATCTTTCTTCTACAGATACCTTGGGGGGGGGGGGTGTTGGAGACATGGGTGGGTTTGACCTGCAGACCTTTCTGTTGGTAGCCCAGTGCCTTATCCAGTATGTCACCTGGGCCAGCTTGCTCTAGCCACCACGTCCCTCCCAAATGCAGGCGCTCTGCAGGCTCCTTTGATCTCTCTTGCTCCTGCTTCTCCCCAGCGTTTCAGTCATTCCCGTCTTCAAATCCCAAGTGAAGGGAAGGCAGCTGGAGCCGTTGTGTTTTCCCTGCAGAGACTGTAGGGAGGGCATATTCAAAACCCAAAGGTAAAAACAAAGAAAGACACGTGGCACGCAGCAGGAAGAGAGAGGCCCCGAATTGTGCCTGATTCAGCATGGCCTTTTGATCGATTCACTGGCGGTTGATCACACACAAAGAATAATGAGCAAAATGAGAGTAAATCCATAGCAGTGGAATTCATTCACCAGGGTGGTCTTTCTGACAGATCTTTTTGTTAGCGTCTTAATGTCAGCTTCCTGAACCTGCTGGTTTGTTAATCTGCAAGTGCGTGTTTAGATACAAGACTGTGGATTCTAAGAGAAGAGCTGTTAATTACAAATTCTAATCCCAGGCTAGAAGATGCTTATGAAGATTAAAATGGTTTCCTCCCGCCACCCTTGTCTCTTTACAATTAGCAGCCTAGCTAAAAGAGCGAAGAAGAACCGTTGGTACGGGGAAATGGAGAAGGTAATAAATGGCATTAATGAAAGCAGTTGCTTTGCACAGCCCTTTATTTAATCCTTCGCTGCTGAGGGCTGTAAATTACTCATTAGACGGCTACAAGCAAAAGATGCCAATAATCCGTTTAGGGGTGCTAAACTCCAAAGATTCAGGGGAGAAAAACCATGGAAACAAGAGGCCCGATGTAGTCTTTCACTGCTATTTCTTAATGGGCAAAGCTGGTTAAACAGCCAGGAAAACCCATGTAATTATCTTGATGCGCCGGCTCACAGGTCAGGGGTAGGTTTGATGAAACTCATGAGGAGCTGACCCACAAGCCCTGGGAAAAAATGTCCCTGCTTTTTCACTCAGTCCGGGACTCAGCTAATCAGCCTGCACATCTCACTTCAAGATTTTCTCAGGAGACTGGAGTCAGAGCCCAGGGCATTCAGAAGGACTTTCCTCCTTATCTGTTGTTTTCCAAGTAAAGCAGGGACTAGGAGGAGAGGCCAAGGGCCAGGGAGGACTGGGGAGGGGCAAGGAGGAAATGGCGTTCTCCCATGCTGGACACAGGGACTGCAGCCTCCCCAGTGTACAATAAATACTCAACTGGAAAATCAACTTGGCTATCAATGTGTAGGCTTCTGTGCATGTATGGGAAGCCACATGCCTTCCACTTAATTGTGGAATTTTCCCCCCTCCCAGAGCGCCACTAGAGAAGACCTCTTTGTTTACTCAGGACAACGGTGTCTGCAGACCAAGAGAGAGATTCCTGTTTAGGCTTAGTGGTAATGACACCAAGCGTCACCATGGTGCATGAATTTCTGAGAGAATCTGAATCTGTCCATTTCCACTGCTCATTCTGAGGCCCTTTCTATAAATGCAAGGGCTTCCAACAGTTTGTGGAAACTCCCCGTTATTGTCCTTCCTTTCTTCAAAAAAACAAAAACTTGTAAATTGAGAATTTGGGTGAAGGTTGGCGGAGCAGATCATCCATTGTCTAGTCAACACTTCACACACACCTTGACTCCTCTCTGTCAACAGTTCACCCAGTTTGCTTCATCTCATTCCCACAATGCAACACCACTCATCCCCCCTCCCGCCGGTCTTTCCTGCCGCCACTCCGGCTCTCTCAGGCCGTCTGAATGTTGTTCCTTGGGCAAATGGTGCTCTCTTGCTCTCTACTGACTGATTATTCTCAGGTGTGTGCCCCTCCCCTCACTCGGGCCATTGTGCCCCTCATAGGCCTATTTGAAAGTGGAGTCCAAGGGTGAGTTCCCTTCCAGACTGGAAGGATAACGAAGGGCCACCCTCTTGAGATCCAGTAACTTCCAATTCATTTTTTCTCCCCAAGAACCTTCTGTAGCCTGCCTATTACACCATTCCTGGCCCACCCTTAGGATGTACACAATAAAATACCCGCTAGTTCACGTCAGTATGTTAGCCAAATATTTTGTTCCTATGCCCGTACTTGCTGCTTCTTATGAGCCACAGCCAATGTCGGCATAGAAGATGGTGGGGTTAGGCTATCCAATGAGGTTATCTTCTTGGTGAAGGTAACCAGACCACTTGAAGATCAAACGGCTGATTCTGGAGTAGCAAAACTGGCCTGCCCAACCTCAACAATTTCCATTTCTTTTCTACTTGACAGCTTAATGAAACGCGTGCTCCCACCAGGCTGGTGCTGTGTTTAGCTCTGTGTTCCAGTCAATCCCCAGCAAATTGGTGCAGCTCCATAAATCATTTCTGATCATGAAACCTGATCTAATTTTGAAAGTTATAGCGGGGGAAATGCATGTATTTACTTTTAAAGGGTAACAATAAACTATTCCCTTGAAAAATCGTTGGTGCGCAACTTGGAAAAACACACAACTGCATTGTGTGATTTTAAAAACACGTTCTTCTCACATCTAGCTTATAAACAAACACGTACCCACCACAGGGTCATTAAAAAACCAAACAAAAAAACCCACGCACACCACAATGCGACACTAAAGAATTTTAAAGAGCTCTGTGACTGGCAATCCTGATAAGCAAGCACTTTTGAAAAAAATATTGTGATGTCTTGCGATAAACAGAAAAGTTCTCAGTACTCTTGGAAAGTCTAACTTTGGGCTTCTTACGTCATTGGTTCCAGGAAAGCAACTATCCCGGGTCACTTTTGGTGGAGATAAGGAATGATGTTTTACCCTTTTCTGAGGGTGGGGGACTGGGCTTCTCTTTGGACTTACCCTGAGTGGATTTTCATTAAGGTAAGGGGGTTCGCCTTCTACCATTTCGATGGCCATAATCCCCAGAGACCAGATGTCAACTTTCGGTCCATAAGCTTTTCGAGTTACCACCTCGGGTGCCATCCAATAGGGGGTTCCTACCATGGTGCTCCGTTTACTTTGCTCAGGGGTGATCTGGGCACAGAACCCAAAATCAGCTGTTGAGAAGAAAAACTCAGTTAGAGACAGCTCAAATGAGTTCCCTCTTGTACCAGGTCATTTTCAGATATGGCTCCACTTGCTCATATCAGACACTGAGCTTCCACAACTACCTCAGCTCACATCCTCTTGTGACCTAACCTGCCGGCTGGCCCTGGCTTTCAAATGATGGGAAAGAACTGGCTGGGGTGGCAGTCCTGTTCCAGGTTCTCACTGGTCCATCAATCTTATAGAATCTGTCCGTCAAACTAGACAGTTGTCATTGAATCCTGAGAAGTCACCAGACATTCCAAACAATGCAGCCCCTCCTCATCCCCAAACCCTGGTCATGATCTATAGGAAACGAAGGGTTTGAAAAAAAAATTGTCACTGGGTAATAACTGTGCTTTCAAATCAATCACTTTCGATAGCCATGATCTTCTCAAGATTGACAGTACAAGAGTGGAAATTGCTTGCTATTTCCTCAAACAGCATCTGAGCGAAAATACCTACTCAGTTTCACAGAGCCATCCATCCCGAGCAGAATATTGTCACTCTTTATGTCTCTATGGATCACTTGGTTCGAGTGCAAGAAATCCAAGGCTTGGAGGCACTGGTGGATCAGAAAAACAAGTTCGATTATATCACACACACAACAAAATGTTTTTAATTCTGTGTTTCATTTCTAGGTGCATTTTGATCAAGGGTATGATTCCATCTTGTCAAATGCAATAGATTAATAAAGGCTTTAGGACCTCATTGAAATCACCGCACCACTTTTGCAATCAGTGATCCTCCTTAGCATTCCACACACGAAGGTCCTATGAAGTGACCTGTGAAGACCAGGGGAGGGAAAGTGGTGGCATAATAAGTTGCACTAATCACTAAGATAGGCTCACACTTCGACGGAGTTATGTGAAGGATCACAGATTCAGCTTGGCCTTAGATGTAGCAAGCTTTCAGCTTACAGGCTATGATTTGAGTCAGTACGTCTGGAGCAAGACCCAGGAATCTGCATTTAAAACAAGTGCCCCAGATGGCCTGACAGACTCTGAGAACCACTCCCAGGCTATGAAGTAACTATGGACACTTGTTTGGAAATGGCTCTGTATTGTAATACTGGAAGATGGAAACCACAGGCTCAGGGCAGCCTATTCTCCTGCAAGACTATAAGTTTGATTTATTGCAGGAAGAGAAAACATGTGTTTTATGGATATGTGTACGTGTTTGGGGAGGGGAAAGGAAGGGGAACAAGGAAGGAGGGGATGTAAGGGAACAATTTTATGTTATAAACACCAACGATAAGCAAAGGCTAGCTGAAAGGATTTGTTGTGCTTGTTCCTCGCCCCCCCCCCCCCCATCATTGTTTCAAGTGGGTTGGAATTTCTACTTGTCTCTACAGAAAATCTCACTATGGTACAAGGGGTAGATGATAATGCACAAACTGAGACACTCGTTTTAATATTGAAAAATATATACATAATGCTAAAATACCCTTCATTTCGCTGGGAACTGGGTGGAGGGTCTGCCACCCTATTATTGGACAAGACACCAGACTTTCAGAGCCAATGAAGGGATCTGAGAAATGTCCAGATTTAAATGTGAAAGCAATTGCTTTCCTTCTAGAAAATGCTGGGATCAGAATATGGTCCATATATTTGTCATGGCTCACACTGACTGCTTAGACAGGCAGCATAAACTACCCTATCCTAAAAAAATCCCCTTAAATCAGAAAGACGTCCTTAGGCCAACATCACGGTTATTCTACGTTCACTAGGATGAGATATGGCATCTCTTGAATGGCACAACAGAACTCAAAGTGATCTATAGAAAAACAACTAAACCAAACAAGGGGCGAGAGAGGAGAGCAGACCATGGATGTAAAATGAGGATGGGCTCTTTATTTATTTTTTGGTAGAAAAGAAAGGACTATTGTCACTTTGGTGTTAAAAACAATCTGAGATCCAGAGCTGCCCGTATTCTTTCTTTCTTTTTTAATAATGACATCATTTTATTGGGGGCTTGCACAACTCTTATCACAATCCACACATACATCCATTGTGTCAAGCACTTTTGTACATTTGTTGCCCTCATCATTTTTAAAACATTTGCTTTCTACTTGAGCCCTTGGTATCAGCTCCTCATTTTTCCCCTCTCTCCCCTCTCCCCCATGAACCCGTGATAATTTATAAATTATAATTATTTTGTCAGCTCTCACAGCGTCCAACGTCTCCCTTCACCTACTTCTCGGCTGTCCGTCCCCCAGGGAGGAGGTTATATGTAGATCCTTGTATTCTGTTCCCCCTTTCTCCCTCACCTTCCCTCCACCCTCCCAGGAATCCAGGACAGATGAACCCCTTAGGACCAGTGGTGACAGAGCTGCCCATTTTCTCTCTTTCTTTTTTTTTCCAGAGCTGCCCATTTTCATCGTCAGCTGGCAACACTCTTAATTTCTTACCTCTCTGCAGACAGCTGCTATCTGTCCTTCATCCATACAGGTCTCTGTGACCACATCAGTCAGAGAGCCTCCGGCCAGGTATTCCATGACAACCCATAGTTCATCACCCACTAAGTAGCTATCACAAGAAGAGAAAAAAGTTTTTTACTTGGGCCTGAAGAAAGGAGATGTCTCTTAAAGAATGACAGTTGCAATTGGTTCGTGCATTTGGTCAGATTCAATAACTAAGTCAATATTCATGGTGATGACCATGAGACAGATTCCTTCACACCAGCAGAAGAGGAAAGGCACTGGAAATTCAAAGGGTCATCTGATGGGAATGGCAGGTTGATATGACCGTGTGCGAAGGAGGGCAAAAAGCATAGAGGCACCTCTGGTGACTACTGCCATTCATGCCATGGTAAAAGATGTTGTTTGTTTGTTTGTTTGTTTGTTTGTTTTTTCAATGAATAGGAGCAGGAAACAGCCTGTGTGGCTAACTCCAGTCATGTTGCTCACATCTTGAAGCAGCCCATGATGTCTACATTTATAGGAGAGTGCTTAACCTCTCAGCATAATTTTGGATTCCACGACATGAATTAGTGAAATGTTTTCAGGGAGTTGTTGAATCCAAAATTCATGTTGGCACCTGAGTCACAGTTCTGGGTCTTTCTTCTGAGGAAGTCACTTGGGCCATGCCCATCCTCTTGCAGTCGCTTTTAAGGGACACTGTCCAAAGTGATCAGACACGGGGACTGAAGTCTTCCTAGCCGTAACATTCCATCAGAGCAAACAGGAGATTATTCACATCATTTGGGGACCATCGAAAGGCAGTGTTAAGGGGCCCCTGTTAGGCTGGTAACCACAAGGTCTGCTAATCAAACCCCACTGGCTGCTCTGCAGAAGGATGAAGCTGTGTGCTTCTGTAAAGATTTATAGTCAGAGCACCCCAAGGGTCACTGAGTCAGAGAATCAACTCCACAGCAGTGGGGTTGTTTGTTTGTTGACTTCTAAAGGCACTTTAGCAGGATGACTACAAGGCTCTGACCCCTGCTGATCAAGAGGGATGAATTACAATGTGCTGATGACCCCAAAGGTTAAATTCTGCTCTAAAGCCCACTCTCACTTTCTAGCTTAGGGGAGGGGAACATCTGGCCCTGTGGGCCATACAGGGCCCGTGAAATCAGCTATACCAGCTAATACCACATTCTAGTCATCACATTAAGGCCGAGTTATTGAAGTGCTCGGCCAAATATAGCAGGCTAATTTTCAAGAGGATAATTTTGAATGGCCCTCAAATGATGTTATAAATAACCAAACGGCCCTTGGCTGAAAAATGGCTCCCCTTCCAACTTCTAGCCAATGATTTGCAAAGCGCAGTGCCCATTAGGTTCACCTGGAGAGGCTGCAGGCCCGATCTCCTCGAGTGAGGAAAAGAGGCCTGGAGCCCATAATTTGAGGAGATTTCAAAAAGTTTGGGGGTGGGGTGGGAAATCTGTTCCCTTTTAATTCCATTCTTCCACAGTTTTTTTTTTTTTGAAATGCCTTTGTCTTTCCAAGTACTTTATGTGGTTCCTAAACTACACTTTAGGAAACTCTGATTTGGATGATCAAACTAGACAGCCGCCCCGCACTTTTCTCCTCCCTCTGTATCCAGCAAGGGTCTACCTGACCCAGAACACACAAAGGGAGACCACGTGTTCATCAAGTCTGGAGCCTTGTAGTTGACTCTGCCCCAACCCCACCCTAGAGCACAGAGCACAGCGGAGCTAAACAAGCACTTATTACAATCGAATGAGACAGATGTTAACCACAAGTGAAGAGTTAGTGCAGTCCTTAAACATCTACTTATAATCCATTGTTACTACCACTGATGAAAGAGGCTTTAATTACCTGGTCTAGGAAAGAGGTTTGAGATTAAAGTCTCTATTCCCTCGGGCGAGCTTGCTGTCAGTTAAGCACAAAGCACCCATTAAAGCAAGGGCATTGCAGTCAGCCTGCAATACTTGGGCTCCCACACAAACAGCTGAATGAAAAATGAAATGTTTAAACCATCACTGCCCTGGCCAATCGGCAAGGGTCTACTTCCTGCCACGGTGGAGCTATCATCTGAAAAGAGATAACGACTCTAACTGCTCAAGGTCTAGAATCAGTTCCAGAACCGTGTTCCCGCAAGTGTTTTACGGGCGGCCACAGGGAAATGTGTGCAAGCTTAGCCACAGATCTGATACGCAACTACGTGGTCGCATTTTGGGAGATATTTGTTGAATGCACGTTAAATGAATAAATGCCAAGTAGAAGAATTTGTCCAGGAAATGGAGTGCTAGCAAAAACAAACAAATCCAAATCGCTGCAAATATATTGTGAGAGAAAGCCACTTACCTATCTAAATAATTAACAATGTTGGGGTTCTTATTTTCCCTCATGACTAGGATTTCATTAATAATTAATTCCTTTTTGGGCTGCTGTTGAAGGTTCATCTGCTTTATGGCCACCTGAATGATGATTAAAATACACGAGAGAATAAGAGTCACTGCAATAAAGACCAGTATCCACATTGGGATGGGGGAGAGAGGAGAGGGGACAGCACAGAGTGGGGCATACACATTCTGTATCTACTAAGCTCGTTGCGCCACACACCCATGCTCTTGTTTTCTTCTTCTGGTCAATCATGACTAAGCCACCCCCTTCATAGGTTTTGACCATCAAGCAAATTCAATCTCCCATCATCCCAGTGCTACCTGGTTGAAGGATGAGCTCTCTTGACCACCCATTTTTTCCCAGGATAGCTGCCATCAAAGAGGAAAATACAGCTCAGCATTTAATGTCAGCACTTACCTCTTGTCCTGTTGCGATGTCTAAAGCTGTGTAAACGGTACCTGATGCCCTGTAAAGGTGAAAGTGATCAAATTAATGGGTGAGCAGTTTTGCTGATAGGTTTCATCTGAAATAAAACATACCTTTTCTCCGAGGAGGAAAACCAGCAAAGTGAAAAGTAAGGGATACATTAGAAAAGGAAAAGTGGATTAGATACTAACTGAACTTGAAACAACCAAGACCCATCCCTTTGGTGGGGCATTGGCCCATAGGCCATGACACTGTACAGAAAGGAATTGAGCAAGATGGTCTTGCCCTTTTGGGAAACTTCTGGAATGTTTGGAATACCCCTTGGATGTATTACACAAGCCAACACTGATGAAATCAGTAGGATATCAAACACCATCTTTTCCTTAAGTAAATATCATTTAATTTTCAGCCTAAGGACAGAGTGGCTTTTACACCCATTCATTTCCAATTTTAAAGAACATTTTTACCTAACAAATCAATCACTCTTAGTGCTGTACTAATACTGCAATGACGCAAAAAATCAAGATCAATGTGGCTGGACTTTATTGATTTAATTTTGTTTGCTACTATATTTTCCAACAACTTCTGTTCTGACTTTCACTGCAATCCAAGAGCCTTTTCAAATCGTCTCCTCTTAAGTCTTGGATGTCTCAGGTTTCTATTCCGATTTCAATTGCAGGGTTCCATTGCTTTGCAAGGTAAAATGATTTCATAAAGGTGAATTCATGGGACCTAGCCGTGAAGCACACATGCACGCTGAACATTCTCCCCCGCAAAGAAAAAAAAAAACCCAACTAACTAGGTGATTTCAGAGAGAAATGTTTTGGTTAGGAAAAAAACGGAATTAGCAGAGAGACCAGTCCTTTGGTTACCTCGGCATCACAGTGGCCCAACCCTACTGTTGAAACTTTCTGATAATTGTCATGCCCCACTTGTTCTCTCTCTCGGGAGTCTAGGAATTAATTCTCTAAGTTATCCACTTCTTTGTAATTCTTCTCCCTTCAAATGTCTGAATGAGCCAAAAAGATTTCTCGCACGTCTAGGAATTTTGTACTATCTGCTCACAAGGTTAGATGATCCAGTCTAAGGTATATTTATTTAACTATTAGTAGGGATCTGAATTCTATGATCTGCCCTAACGTCAACAAACTATGTGATGGAAGATAAATCACATCTCTTTTCAGAGTTTCTTTCAGCCTTCACAGAGGAAAATAATGATCAAGGTTACAATACATATATAGCGAGTATGGGTGTGAAGCACAGCGCTAAGAACTTTATACAATTGATGCAATCTTTCTCCTATTTCGAGGGACCCTGAGGTTGTAGTAATTACACCTTGGCCTGTGGTCCCCAATGGTAGCAGTTTGAAGCCACCAGGTGTCTGCAGAGGAAAGATGGGATTTTCCATACCCATAAGAGTTACAGTCTCCGAAACCCACAGGGGCTGTTCCACCTGGTCCTATAGGGTGACTGTGAGTCGACACTGACCAATGGGGGTGAGGATGGTGTGTTTTGGTTGGGTTGGGTTTGCTCTTATTTCTAGCAAGCAAATGTTCTACTGTCTCCACCTTACCGCTAAGGACACTGAGGCTTAGAAGTTGTGTCATCTGTCCAAGTTGTCCAACTTACCATTTGAACCAATGTCATGGAAAAATGGAGTTGAAAGATGAGATTACTTTTGTCCTCCATGAATATTTTGAAGCGCCCCTCCCCCCCTCCCCGACTGTAAGGGAGCGGAGCCAATTTATTTCTAAGTTCTTTAACTTCATACACTGAAACCACCTCTTACTTCCTAGCTCTGCTTGGGTATTCAAAAAGATCTACTAAACCCACACCAAAATATCAGAACAAGTACAGCCGCCACCATCTCACCCAGGATTTGGCAATTTGAGGAATTCTTCAGGCTTGAGAGTTACATCAAACAAATCAGTCTGACGATTTTGTACATCTGAGATTCTGGGTTCAGAGCACATGGTTGGTGTGCAGTAAATAAGTGTTGAACAAACACATGAATAAATATTTTTCAAGCAAATACACAAGTGCACAAAAACTTTTCCTAACTATGAAGAAAACATTTCCTACTTTACTGAAATCTACATAAAGCCCTTCCTTCTTGGGATAAGCTTTAAAACATTCTTGATTGCAGGGGACACTTTGGGATTGGCCCTCCTACACTCAGAATTAGCCAGATTACCTCCATCTCAAGGAGGTTCCAACTTCAGTAAAAACCCAAACCACACTCACTGCCATCAAGTCCATGCCAACTCACAGCAACCCCATAGGACAGGGCAGAACTGCCCCTGTGGGTTCTGAGACTGTAACTCTTTACAGGAGTAGAAAGCCCCATCGTTCTCCCTTGCAGCAGCTGTGGTTCTGAGCTGCAGACTTTGTGGTTAGCAGCCCAAGGCCATAACCCCTACTGCAAGATGATACTAGTATCTATCTCACAGGACTCCCGACCACCCAAAGGCAGAAGGTAAGTGAGTATTTAGTCCTGTTCTTACAGTTGTTGCAGGGGTTGATGACTGATTCAATGAGCTATTAATTGGCTCTTTCTAATTATCACCTCAACCCTAGGATCATTTGCTAGTGCAGCGGTTCTCAACCTGTGGGTCGCAACCCCTTTGAGGGTCAAACGACCCTTTCACAGAGGTCGCCTGATTCATAACAGTGGCAAAATGACAGTGATGAAGTCGCAACGAAAATAATGTTATGGTTGGGAGTCACCACAACATGAGGAACTGGATGAAAAGGTCACGGCATTAGGTTGGATGAGAACCACCGATGTAGAGGCTCAGAGCTTCCTTTAAGAGACATTAGCTACACCATGCTTCAAGACAAAATTTCATTTATTTGTCATTAGAAATAAATTTTTCACAATATAGAATTATGTATTAAAAAGAATTACGTATTGTTTTTGTGATTAATCACTATGCTTTAATTATGTTCAATTTGTAACAATGAAAATACATCCCGCATATCAGATATTTACATGACAACTCATAACAGTAGCAAAATGACAGTGATGAAGTAGCAACGAAAATAATTTTATGGTTGAGGTGTCACCAAAACATGAGGAACTGTATTAAAGGGTCACAGCGTTAGGAAGGTTGAGAACCACTGTACTGGTGTCTTTCCTTATTTTCCCAAAGGACAGAATCTGAGGATGACCTTCTGGAACATTCTATGTCCTTGTCTCCCTAACTCAGTACTGTCAAGTAGATTGCAATCCTAGATCCCCTAAGGCAGTGTTTTTACCCTTTTCTTCTAAGGGAGGAGCACCTTTGTCCTATGAAACTGTGTGCATAACCTCCAGATGTATCAAACAAATCAAATGGGAGCTGCTCCGGGTAAATCTAGGGAAGGAGATGGAAAAATTCCTCCCCAGGTGGACTTCCCCCTTATTCATCATTACCTACACTCCAGCGCCCAAGCCCATTTCCACTGTCCTGAGGGCAGAAACGATGATTGACTAGGAGTGAGATGGAGATTAGTGTTTAACAGCAACAGGGCTTCACCCTTCAAATCCCTGGTTTTCTGCCCTCAGTGCCCTCGAGCATTTCACTGCCTTAAAATTGCTACAGTCCTACTTCTGGAATCCCAATATCCTGGATTTTATAGCATTTGGTTATCGAATTGCAACCCCCCTTAATCAGCAGAGGTTTAAACATCCTGAAACTGTAGCGCCTAGGTGGCCAAAGTTGGTTGATCATTGGAATCATCTGGAGAGCTGGTGCAAGTACAGACCCTCAGGCTTCTCCTCTTTAGACATTCTGATTCATCAGGTTGCAAAGAGAGTCCAGGGAGCTGTCACCACATCCAATGATTCCACTGATCAGCCAACTTTGGCCACCTAGGCCCTAGAGCAGGGGTCAGAAAACTTTTGAGATGGAAAAGCCACTCTTGTCCCTCACAACAATTTAAAGATTATCCAAGAGCCATAAATATATATTACATTATATTATACAAACCAATTCACATTTACTGCCATAGAGTCAATACTGACTCATAGCGACCCTCCTGTGGGTTTTCTGAGACTGTAACTGTTTACAGGAATAGAAAGCCCAGTCTTTCTCCTGAGGAGCTAATGGAGGTTTTGAACTGCCGACCACAGGGATTACAGCCTTGCATAACCACTACACCACCAGGGTTCCTATTATATTATATAGAGTCCTAAGTATTTCCTTTTAAATTTTTCTATTTTACTTCAGAGCCAAATGTACCTACTGAAAGAGCTGCATATGGCTCTAGAGCCCCAGGTGGCCAACCCATGGGCGAGCGTGTCAACAGTTACTAATCCAAAATGAGGAGCATTTCTCCCCACTTCCACCTTATTACATATATGCAAATGACTAGTGAGAACCATTCTTCCTCCCTTCCCAGGTGTGAAATAGCAATATCCTTTTTACCTCCACTCCAAACACCTTACATTGATGGGATTTGTTGCTATGACCCATCAGTTAAGGGTTTTCCCATCTTCCAAACTCTGTAGACTCCTCAACTCAAGTACACACACTCAGGGACTAAACTTCAGAGTAAGCAAGACTTAGTACTCTTCTTCCCAGACCCATCTCCACATCTCTAACACTTCTCAGATGTCTTTCTATATTCTGAGAATTTAATATTCAGGTGGTACACTGAATCTTTCCCACTCTCATAGTCATCTATGGAATCACATTCGTTGCCCACTACTGGGCTGAGAGCAGTTATTCTCATCCACACCCACTCAAACCTCCCCAAGTTCAAATCCTAGTACTTAATACCTGTGTGACCCTATGAAAGCTTAACACCCCTCCCCCCCACCGTGGCTCCGTTTTCTCATTTGTAAAATGAGGACAATAATATCTACCTCATGGTGTTGTTATGAGACTAAAGGAGCTTAAAGCCATACCTGGCATATAGTAATTGCTCAATAAATGTTAGCAATAACAATAACAGTAATAGTTATTATTACTTGGTGACTATTCCCTCATATAGTCAATAATTAAGGCCCCAAATGATAGTTTGTGGATCCTTAGGAATCTCGAAGTATATGGGAGT